TCTTAAAATGCAATTTAGATTAGAGTCGAATTTCATTCCCAAAAGCTATAAGTAATTCTGCTGGCTTGCTCACGGTAAAATTGACATCAATGACACTCTTTTTATTCCTATGCGAATCTTGCTAATTAATGAAGCTCGTAAGAAATTTAAAGCGAAGAGTGCGGCCACATTTTATTTACAAAATGTAATGTTTCTAAGCTTTGCAGAATGAGTTCCATTTATATTATGTTCACCCACATGAAGTAAAACTTTGTGTATACCTTGAATTTATTTGTTCATCCAAGCTTATACGTAACAGTTCCACTGGATTGTTTCCAATAGCGATTTCCTATGAATCCAATTATTCTAAAAATTGTTATATATTTTTCTCTAGCTGTATGTCTGCTTTAACTTTTAAGAATCTCTACTACTTATGCTGAAGCAAAATAGTTAACCTGCCTTGATTACTAATTAATTTAGATAATTTTTATTTTGCAGGACTCATTTTAAGGTATTACTAATAGAAAATTTTTTGAGAGATTAAAAAATATTTCAAACTCCGAAATTCTTTTAGCTAATCCTATTATGTATTTTTGGTGTTATGAACTTTGCCTACAGTAGTTCCTCAACATGTCATCTCTGATAGAGATAGCATTCAAAGATTTCGGCCTTAACAAAACGTGATGTTGAAAGCCTTTTAATTTCACAAACTTCTCCTAAAATAATGCTTCAATCATCTTCAATCTTGATGAATGGAACCTTCACCCTTTCGGGTATTCGTATAGGAAGTTGCTCAGAGGAGACATCTACGAAGGAGGAGAATATCGTATGCATGCTAAGTCATATGTAGCCTTAATGCAATACAAATCTTGAGCAATAATTTACTAATTGGCCTTGTACTTTTTTATTTCGATATAATAAGCCGTGACTTATTTGAAAAGGACCAATTGTAAAGCCCTTCTAAATATATTTTCCAAAATTTATTAGATATACATAGAAACTGAGATATAGATTTTAAAATATTTTGTTTTCATCTCGTTACCGCAACTTGATTGGGCGACAGGGAGACCTTGTGTAATGTACCCTTGCCATGGTGTTCATGATGATTTCCAGCATCTGATCGTTGACTTGGTAAATTCCCAGACATTTTATCGGCATTGCCAATCAGGGACGCCATTCCTAGCGTGCATGTAGCTTATCAAAATGGCAAGATAGGGTGATCTCCTAGACCAGTTTTCTCTTCAACCACTGTATCATCATTCCCTTCTCAATTTCTTATTTTACTTTTTAGTTCTGCATCTCTTTCACTCAACTTTACTTCACTTTGCTTCTTCCGTTTTCTACTACTCCTTTTGGTGCAATCTTTTTCAGAGTCTGTGAGGTGCTTGGTTTGCCTTTTTTCGAGGTCCCGACTGGATGGAAATTTTTTGGCAATTTAATGGACGCTGGCTTATGCTCCTTATGCGGGGAGGAGAGTTTTGGCACAGGATCGAACCACATTCGTGAAAAGGATGGGCTCTGGGCCTTGCTTGCATGGCTTTCCATCTTATCTGTTCGTCGTAGCCACGACCTTAAGACAGCAGAGGTCGAGGTCTTGATGCGTGAGCATTGGTCTCGATTTGGTAGACATTTCTTCACTCGGTAAATCTTGGTTTATATTTGAATTTACCCACTTTCTCACTTTATTATATCTGCACAGTCTTTTGGTTATCATATGGCTAGAGATTTTACCTACTGTTGTCTTATTGCACTTTTTTGCTATTTCATTATTGAATACGGCATAGTCATTACCCTTATTTAAACTAGTTTTAGGATGCTTTTATACTAGCTATGTAAGAAATCAGTTGAATAGTAAACTTATTATTAGAATTGGGGAGTCAGTCATAAGGCAGATAGGTAAATAAAGTGATTAAATTACCACTATAATATCATGCTCACAATAGGTCGATGAAATAAAATTATTATTTAGATAAGCAGCAAAGCTTGAGATGAAGTCCCATGACTTGATCAGAAAATATAACTTTTTAAATACTATTAGTTAGTCTGATGAATTTTTAATAATGAATTTGAATTGGTGCTAAAGTTATTTTGCAGTTACTATTGATGATAGTTATTTAAATCAGGATGTAGTCAATGGTGCAATCTATCTTAAATCACAAACAACTTTTGGGGAGTAGGATAAGGCAACATTTTATTTTAAACCTAGTCGCCTTATGTTTTCCTGACTAGACAACTCATCACATTAACGATTACCTAAACTATTTGTCAATACTCATAATTAAGTGTTGGAGTATCTTTCATTCGTTTGAAGAAGCGAGTGAAAAGATTTTTAAGTTGGCCTCACTGGAAGCTATCGAGGTATGGCCTTGGAGCTGTGACTTATTTTTGTGCTAATAGATCCTCGGTGCACTACATTGCAGGGCATTATAAAATAGCCCAATTCGTATACTAACTGAGATATTAATTTCTTTGCTCTTTCGTTTGAATATCTAGTATGTATTCAAAGATTAAATAGCTTGCTTAAAGTAATTCATTTTGTATTAGGCTCTTGAATATCCTCATATTTTTCTTCTTGCTTATGTTCTTCATATTTTAATTTCTTTGATTATTCAAAGAAGATCAAATAGCTTGCTTAAAGTAATTCATTTTGTATTAGGCTCTTGAATATCCTCATATTTTTCTTCTTGCTTCTTATGTTCTTCATATTTTAATTTCTTTGATTACATTAGTTATGATTTTGAAGATTGCGAATCAACTCATGGTAATGAGATTATGCGCCGCCTTGATGCCCTTCTGGCTGACCCAAAGACGGTTGGGCGCAGTTACTCCATCGACGGAATTGATTATAGCATTTCTAAAATCGACAATTATACATATACAGATCCAGTAGATAAGACGGTGTCTAAGAACCAGGTCTGCTCTATGTATTCCTTTTTTTCTCTACTTGTTTGTATACTCATATTCTCATCTATTTTGCTTACAGCATAAGATCTTACAGTATTAACGAATCATCACTGCCTTTTATTTATTTAAGTTTGAACAACAACTATATCGAGCATTTATCGTCTCTTAGTCAAATATACGAGTTATTTTTTCATATTTGACTGCTCCTTATACAGAATACTCCACCATCATCTTCTATATTTGCTGAAGTAACTTTAAGAGATAAAGCGACGTTTTTCTTGGATGAAGCTATCAGTTTTGATATTATGAGACAGACATGTTATACATTAGTTCTAAAGTAGACTTATTTCAGCCTTTAACTTCTTAATCTCATTTATGATTATAGTGTTCTTTCATGAATATATGCAAGTTATAGGCAGACAAATTTTCCATTAAGGCATACTTCCCTTTGGCAGCAATATTACTAGCTCTTATTCAAGATATATTTATAGTATCAAAGCCAACTAAACACAAAAGTAATTTCCGTGGTCGAGTGTAATGGCTTGAGAAAGCAAGGACATAATTTGTCTTCTTCCATTGTTGTTTCTAGTATTCACCTGTTTTTCAAATCTACTTATCCAGAAATCTCTATGCAAATATTTACCTTTATTTTTCTAATATATTGGAATACTTTTACAACTAATGGAACGATTGTCAATTCTTTTATGGTCGTGTCCACACAAGTATAGTAATCTTTATGACCATTATATATAAAAAGCTTTTGACTCATTTTTTGCAGTTAGATTTTTTATCTTACAACTAAAATATAAGCTCTGTTAATTAAGTTTTTGTCATTAGAATATTTGCAATGTATTTATGTCAAAATATTTTCTATCATAACGATATTATTATTTCGCCGAAGCTTCTTCAATTATTGGTTTAAGTGGCACCTAGAATAGAAACCCAATAAAACTTTAGAAACTAGACTGACCCAAACTAAGGCTACGCCACCTTGGTCCTCACATCTCCTATTTAGAGAGTAGTCTCGAAAACCTACTCAAAAAAAGGAAAAACATTTAGAGAGTTTGTTTGTCTGTCTTAAATTAATTGTTCAGGAGTTAGGAATTTATGCCTAATTACTTATGCTGTTTATTGGCTATTTAATGCCATTGTAAGACTCGTTTAATTTTAGGAATTTCAAGCATTAAGTCATAGCTCACAGTAAATAATTCAAAATGGTTAAATTATTAATCTTTTTGGCTCAATGATCCTGGTCACATTTTTTCATCACTTATGATAACTTTCTGATACTGAAATTCTTTTTGTTGTTTTTAATTTAAGCATTCTTTTTTATAGAAGTTGTTTGACCTTGTTTTCGTAACTTTGCCACATTAGTAGGAAGACCTAGAGGGATGCACCTAGTCTGAAGTCCATAGTATGCAGTATAATTTCTAGAGGTGTATCGTGGACATGGTGCATTGACAGACGTTTCGTCAGCATCTTCAGTGAGCATTGCCAGTCTTAGCACGAGAATACAGCTTGTCAGGGACAAGTGAACCCGATTCTTTGACTAATTGTCTGCTAAACAATCGTGATATCTATTCTTCCGCCCTGGGCTAATCACCAATCCTATATCCTTATATCACACATTTTTACTTACTTATTTAAATGTAGTATGGTATGCCTTTTTGAGTCGATTTCATGAGGACTCACTACACTCCACACCCTCAACCCCTCGCTCTCCTTCACTCTTGTGCTGGGAATGTTAATTAGAGCCTGCCCTATTGTTACACAGTCCTCTTTCCATAGGTCTCATTAGAGTCTCCCTCTTGCCCCGTAGGATCCGTCTGTAATCGGCCTGGATCAAGTATTTCACCCGACCCCTGCCACCCTATCTGTGCTACTCGAGGTGTTATTTCTCACACTGTCTCTGAGAGACTAACTTGATGCTAAAACCCCTGAGTAATTATTGTGGTCAAGCCTTTTCTTCATTGACCATGTATATTGTAAAACGGGTAAACTGTCAGCCAACTAGCTCTAGTCTCTACCACGTCTATTCTGTTTTTATCTCTAATACCAAGTTTATTACTTCCTATGCCTTAGTCTCTTGTGTGCCAACCCACAAATGTTGTGGTTCTTCTTGTTTTGATTTGGCTTACTGAAGATGTCGCCTCTTGGTTTCTGATTGTTTCTTTCTGGTTTCCTTGCGATTTCTTTTGCTAAGATTAAAGGTGTTACATTGATCTTTTATTTTTTTGCTGATCTTACTACTGCCTGGTTTTCTCGAAATTTATTTAGGCATTATGCAAAGTTTTCGCTGATCCTGCCTTCTTTAAATCTTCTGTTCATTACATTTCTTTCGGTCGGCATATCGATGCCCTTTCGGATCCTGTGTTTTCTCTTATTTTCACCATATGCAGCCAGCCTTTCTGTCGATTTCGTGTCCCATTCGTGCAATGTATTCCGTAATTTCGGATCTTTTTGTATCCATGTTTTTATATAGTCTGATTTTTCTTGATTTGTAGACCGATCTTTCTTCCTGTTTCAGCAATATACTTCTACTCACCGTTGCTGCAATTAATGCGATAAACCCCCGATCAATCCACTGTCAATCTTCTCGTGTTGCATCGGCAGACTGGTGAAAAATGTTGTCTTTCTTGTTATCACCTTGATGCTCCATTTCCTTAGTAACGGCTCAATTTTGGCTCAGTTCAGATGAGAACAGGCAAATCCACTTTTGGTCGTCCTGATTTCTGATCTGATTTTCATAAAATCCGAGTTGAAATCTTCCCTTTTTTGTTAATGCTCAGAGATACCCGTTACTAAAGCAGTTTGTCTAACTCCTCGTCCCAGAACTCAGCTTCCGTTAGTCGTAATCTGATGATCAAATTCCTCAGTATTCCGATCTTCAATCCGTAGTTATTATGATAGTGAAAATTAAGGATTATTTTCTCATGTGAATTCTTTTTGTATAGTTTCCTCATCTGTGTACCGTTGGAGTGCATGATTTTAATATACTGAAAGGGTAGTCGTTCATTCTCCATCTCCATTGTGAATTTCATTCTTTCATCAAGTTGGTTAATTAAATTGAGGAATTCATTTAGATTTTCCTTAACATGTGACCCAAGTGCAAAGTAGCCATTGAAGTATCGCATAAGCACTCCCAGTTACAGTGGTGACTTTTCGAATTCCCTTTCCAATTTTTCCATGTACACATTTGCCAAAAGAGGTGAGAGTGGAGATCCCATCGGTAGTTTAAATATTTGCTTATTGA